GAAACCTAGCGCGAAGGTCTATCCGATACCTATCCTTCCTATAAGATAGATTAATCCACGACGTTTATATCTGCTCCTCTATTAAGGATAGCCGTGGTATAGACTTACCGCTCGCCTTACCTTAATACTATAGGAGCTTCGATTAGCCTATAGTCCGAGGGCTTAGTATAAGGCGGGGCGTCTTCCTACTACTAAGACTAGTTATTAGATTAGGTATAACTAACGTTTAACCGCGTACCGGCTACGGGTTATCGATTTAGATTTAAGCTAGAGGTATTAGAACCGCTATCACCGTCTTTTAGTTCCGGGTAATTATTACGAAGATATCCCTTTTAGTGATAGTAGTAGTACTCTATATCTACTAAACTGTATCTTTTCGGTTAATTCGGGGTCGTCTTTTATCTAGCGGAGGTCTCCGGATCTCCCGGGGATAGGCTTCTCTCTAAACTATTACCGGATTAGTTTATAGCTACTGAATAGTTAGACCGCTGTGATTACGAAGCCGATACCTTATCCTTATCTTCCGCCGTATCTTTATTTCGAAGTAGCTTAGCCTTCCGTGCTATCGAATAAAGTTCGGTGTAAGTTTTAGGTAGTCCCTTAGCGATTATATAATCGCGAATAGGCTGTTATAGCTTAACGATTATAAGCTATATACGCTAGTTATCTTTAATAGGTATAGGGATTTTATTAAAGAATCGATTAATCCGGTTAAGGAAGTGGTTATATTTCTCCCCTTCTCTCTACTTAGTAGAGTTAGTAAATAGTTAGTCCGCGGCGGTTAACGTGCGGGTATCGTCGTTAACGACCTACCCCGAAAGGAAGTTCTTTATTTCCTGCTAAGTCGTTATAGAAGCTTTAGGCGTAGTAATTAGCCGTTATTAGGCACGCTACCGCGACCTGATAGCCTAAGGAAGAGTGTTATTTACGAAATAGACTTTTATCTTATCGCTCTGAAAATTACTAGAATTAAGGTAAAAATATTCTTCTAAGTCCTTAATATATATTTTATACTAATCCTAGGATTAGCTATCCTATTTAGAGATAAGGTAGTCTATTTTAGCCTAGTCGTTACGGGTTAGCGGTTAGTTACCCGGGTCTTATAGTATATCCACGGCGTTACCACTATTCTATAAAGCTTAGAGTTATCCAGCTAAGTTGTATCGCTCTTAGTCTAACTTAAAAGCCTTAACCTATTCTCGTAACTATTCTACTATTAAAAGGCTAACGCCGGTAGTAGTATTAGGGGGGCGACCTTTAGTATCCGATACCGGTTTGGCGGGTCTATTAACTGATAGCCTTTGACGAGGCGGAACCTATAGCCGGGTTATCCGAGGTTAGTCGGTGGTTATTTCCGCGGTAAAGGTCTATAAGGTTAGCTTAAAAGAGATAGGTACTATAGGGGGGGTCTACTCTATTACGCTTAAGTTCCCGGTTCCCGGGGCTATACCGATAAGTGCCTTAGCACTACGACCCGTAATAAGGTAAGGGTTAGTCACCTATTAGGCCGTCTAAGGTACGTTACCTTACTCGCCGCGTAGCTTATTCTGCTTTTACCGCTACGGCTAAGGATTAACCTCGCTATTACGGCTAGGCTCGGTATCTCCTATCTCGAACTCGGGGAGTAATTAATACGGTGACGATATACTAAGAATAACTAATTAGTTCTCCGCTTAGGTAGGTCGGGCAGAAACTTTATACCGGTCTATATACTTAGGTAAGGTAGAGAACGAATAAAATATTAAAGGTATTCTTATCTGGAGTAGTATAATAGTAATTAACCGATACGTCCTAGGTAAATAGTAGTTCGTCTATAGGTAATAGATTTTAGAATACTTAGATTATTCGTTACCCGCCTTAAGAAAGAGGTCCCTAAGGCGCCCCTTTTATAGCTATCCGGGGTCTAACTAGAATCCTCCTATCTATCCCCGGCTAACTCCTTTAATATAAGACTATTATACCTAATATCTTAACCTTTATCCTCCTATTAACTCTTAGTGGTCCCACCTTTAACTTCCTATAGCCTAATATCTAGGAATCTAGATATAGCCTCGGCCTTTCTAGGTCGTGGTGATATCCCTCGTAGATACTATCCCTTAGCTATATAATAGCGAGACTATAGCGACGACTTATTAATTCTAGGTATACCTACTACTAGATAGGCCCTTTTAGATCGTAGACCTAAGTCGTATAGATACTATCCCTTAGCTGTGTAATAGCGATACTAAGGCAATAACCTATTAATTCCTGATATATCTGCTACTAGTAGGCAGGCCCTTTAAGGTCGTGGGTATAAGTCTCGTGGATACTATCTCTTAGCTGTATAATAGCGAGACTATGGCGATGACCTGTTAATTCTAGGTATACCTGCTATTGGATAGGCCCTTCTAGAGCGTGGATATAAGTCTCGTGGATACTATCCCTTAGCTATGCTATGAAGATAGTACCGTATTAATAACCGGTTAGTCCGTGATATATCTGCTGTTACTAACCCGATAAGCTGAGTATATCTTATCGTCCCTTGCTTAGTATGTCCGTGATATATAGTCTTTAGTATAGGTAGTATAGCGGCGGGAGCGCCCGGGCGCTATAGCGTTATAGTAGCCTAGCCTTATAGGTATGCTAATTCGGGCTTCGCGTAGTAATAGTATACCCTCTTTACTATAGGGTAGCGGTTAGCCTTATAGCCAAAGTATAGTTATGTATAGTACCTTAGGGGGCTAAGGTTAGGATTATATAGTTTATAGATATAGCTACCCCCCATAAAGAGGAGGGTATTCCGGACAAGGCTTATTACCCTTTCTAGTAAAGCCGATTTAATAAGACGAAGCGCTACCCTGCCGGTACTATAATAGGGTATTTATTATTATACTTAGAGGACTTTAGCCTCGGGGTTTATATCTTATAGGGATACTAGCAGGTCTTTTTCGGATAGGGCGTTAAGGACTTCCCTAAGAATAGCCTTAATAAGCGTTAGGTAAGTATATACGGCTAGAGTAGCTCCTTTACTAAAGGCCTTCTTAACCTATTACTCCTTATAGGTAGACTATTACTATACCCTTTTAGTAAAAGTAAGGTAAATATCTCCGCTAGGTAGCTTCTATACCGCTATAGCATTATATTAGGTAGTTATAGCGTTTATAGCTTAGATAATTTCCTTTAGAGTCCTAGCTCTAAAAGGCTAATCTTCGGGGAGGGTTCTTTAATAAACGATTAATTCCCGGTAATACTTAGCTAGGATTACTTTAAGGGGGGCGGGGTCCCGCGGCGGTACCGTTATAGGAGCCCGGGTTATAATATTAGCCTAGGTCTTTTTTATACCGCTTATTCCTTTTTAGAGTTCCTCTCGGATAATATAGCGGACGGAGGTATATAGGTAGGCTAGTAATATTATACCGGCGTTATTATATATACTATATATCGTGATTAATTCCTTTACTAGCTCTATAACCTACTTAATTATATTCTTATTAGCTAGTAAGGCCTAAATTTCTATCTTAATCTTAGCTACTCTTAGTTCTAGGGGGCGTAATAATCCCTTTTCGGTTTTATATCGGTTCCGCGCTATATCCTACCTTAGGAGGGGGGGGAGGCGCTTATATTACGAAAAGTGGGTCCGTTATAAGTTCTGCGTGGTTAAGGTCGGAATAACGCTATCCCACGATTCTTCCGGTTATACCGTAGCGCCGGTATTACGGTACCGCTATAATAGTATCCTAGGAGGGAGGGGGTAGTTATAATCTCTGTCTTAATAGTTTTATCGATTTTACTCCTATTACGCGCCCGTGGTGGATAGGCGTGTCGAAATCGTTTTATAATCTTGAGAATAATTATAGGACTACCCTAGTAATAATAGTAATAATAATAGGGATAATAGAAATAATAGCGAGATATAGTAGTCTTATATAAGTATATATATTTATAAAGTGTAATAGGTTTTATATATTAAGATATACCTTTACCCTATATAGATCCCCTATTATTCTAAGCTTATTATATTCGTTTATATCCGCGCTAACCTTTAAATCCCTAGTAGAGGTATATTAAGTGCCTACCCCCCTTCTAGGATATACCTCTATTTCGGTTACCACTTTATACTAAAATACTGTTTTTAGACCCCTGCTATTCTATAGAATAAAATAGTAAATATTATAAAAGTAAAATCCTCAATAGTTTAAAAGTCTAGTATAAATATTCTGTTTATGGGTTTAATATAGGTGTAGTAGAAGAGGTATAATATAGCTTAGAAGTTAGAGATTTGATTATATTAGTGTTATTATATACTATATAACGAATCCTAAATAAAGAAAAATATATTTATTATAAATAAATAGATATAGGTATAACTATAAAATAAATCCTAGAAACAACTTCTACCTCTATACTATATATTCTAGTTTATATTATATAACTAAAAGTAGAATTGCCCTACTAAATCTTTATATAGACTTATACATATTACTTAAAGACTTTCCGAATACTAACTAACTTTTTATAAGAGTTCCATAGTAGTATCTATAAGTTATAGGCTATTTTCTAATATTTAAGTTATATTTTCATAAGTACAACTAATCTATTAGAAATATTCTTAGTTATATTCTAAGTTACTAAGAAAATATATACTAAAGTATATATATAATTAAGTTCTATCTTCTAAGCTATATTATAGCTTTTTTACTAGACCTATATAGAAAGTCTAAATAGCATATCAGTACTTGACTTCTAATTTATATAGTGTTTTGGTTTTATCATATATACCATTTTATTCTATATAATAGCAGGGGTCTAAAAAGGAGTGTTGTAGTGTAACGTGGTGGGGCGTCCTTACAAAGTGGGGCTGGCACTTACTAAGCATTACTATTCCTACGATTGGCGTGGACGTAGAAGCCTCTTGTTACTATCTTTAGAAGTTGTTACAGTTACCCCTGTGATCTACCGTACCTCACAACGTCCAACGACGGAGTAGGCATATACACTTATTGCGAATCTCATCACCCCTGCGAGTCAACTATGTATTATTATCGCTTCACACCAGTTGCCCCTTCACAGAGTTGCTAATTGCCCAATTTTGTTGTGAACATGGAGTATTCATCAGCCAGCATGTTCTTATAGGGCATTTCAAAGCATGCAGGTGAGCTTTGATGGTTGGATGTTCATGTGGAAGTACGGATCGCTTATCCTACTTAATAGGGAGTCCACCAAGAAACGCCACAGAGGCCCGCTCTATATACTCCGTACACCTACGTATGCCCCCCCCCCCCCCGCGGGGAACGCTTCGCGCAGGAGAAGTGGCTTGAATTCTCTTATTCAGCTTAATGACGCCTTAATCCCTTCAGGGGCACTCTCCTCTCCTCAAACTAAGCCCCCCTCTCCAGCAGCTGGGATCCCTTTCCGTGTATCGCTTCAGGGGGTCCGAGATCATCGTCTCGCAGACTCTTGTAGGTGCAGTTCTGTCCACAGGTCCGCAGCCTATATCCGAAGTCAGGGCCGTCATGTCAGCCTCGTGCTGCCCTCGCTTCACATGCCTACTTTTTACTAGCGCTCGCTTCCTCTCGCAGCCAGCACCAAGGTCTCCGTTGATCACCTCGTATATTGTTTTGCGTATCTACCGACCTTCCTCGCTTGCAAAATGGCCAGAGTCCCACACGTCGGCTATGCATTGGATACTATCTGTACTGCGATCGAACCCATTTGTCCTCTCACCTACTCCCGCCTCCTCGCCTTCACCCGTCTTCCTTGTATATAGTCTCACCTGCTTGTCCTTCTTCGTTTCCTTGTCCCTTTTCAAGCAGGTCACCCAAGATATAATAAGTTGTTGCCGCGGTCTCAGCCATTACTACTACTTCATAGGTATATCTCACCGTCCACTCTGGCTGGCTGGCTTCAATTCCGGCATCTCTCATGTCAACCGCCTCCCCACTTTCCTAGAATACCGCCTTTCCCCGCCCTGGACAGGCCGTTCATACATACAAACTCACAATAACCGCCCAGCCAGCCATTTCCAACTCGACTCGCGTCCTCCGTCTGGCCGAGAGTCGGCACAGCATCCCTTGCACCCTTGACCTGGACAACTCACGCTCCCCGCGCAGCCAGGCATGACGCTCGATATGGTTATTTAACCTGTGCTCCTGCGACATCAGTATACCGCCGTCGTCCACCACATTGTCTTGTGGAACACCGGGCAAGCTACGTAGCCCGCTGATTCAGCTCTTGCGTTCCTGTACTTGCATCGTCAGTCTACGAATCTTGCATGCCGTACATTTCGCCCAGCCGATCTTGATCCAGAATATATCCCGCGTATAGCAGTCACCTACGGAACGATATGTCTGTCGCAGCCCGGCCAGGCCAAATCGTGCAGGCCATCATGGGTCGTGTTCTCCCCGGCGTATGTATTCAAGATGTCCGCGCCATGCCCTCCCAGCGGCACCAGAAGCTCTATGGCGTCCAGTCATCCGACGGCAGTCAATTCCTCATTACCTTTTCAACGTCCCGCATAGCTAGGTCGCTTCGTTCCGAACAGGGGTCCATCAGCTCCGAGGCTGCGGTGTTGAGTTGGCTTGCAGCTCTGAGTGTTGATAAAGCCTCGACGCACGAGACAGATCCCACTGCCGAGGTCACTGAGGCGGCGGGTCCTAGCCAGTGCAGTGAGGGGTGTATGTCTACCGATACATCTAATGAGGTTCCCTCTCAGCTCGCAATATTTATACCCATTCTAGTCGCACATTTACCCTTACCTAATGAGATGGGGGTTGCCTACAACGTCATGAAACCGACATCCGGGTCACTTATCGCCGGTATCCATCCTGGCCTCAGCTCTGGGGAGCGCAGGGCTGTGGATATTCAGATAGGGCAGCTCTACCGAAAGCTTTGCCGCCTCGTCTCACCCACGGGACGATTCGGTCCCGTATCCGAGCTTTTACCCTCCCCAACGGTTCCACTCGCAGAGCAGCCAATTCCAAGCGCTCGCTGCGCTGTACATGGAACATCGATCAAACCCGGAGGGATCAGTTCGTGGCCGACAGCTTTCCATTCCATGCTTGAGGCCGTGCTCCGTGACGGAGAGGACATGGCCATCATGCTTGGATACACAACCATCCGAAGACATTTCAAACGCCTGAAGCCTGCTCTCGATGGCGTAGTGAGTCCTCGCTTGGTTGCGATAGACATCGGTAGTGACATCAACATGCTGGTTGTTAGAGAGGAGCAGCCTCCAGAGGCTGTGCCAGTGCCTCCCAGGCAGTCACCGGACCGTGAGGCGGGAGGTCACAAATGCACCCAAAGTGACGGAGACGACGTGAAAGAAAACGACGGTCAATGCAGTCGCCGAGTCAGCGACGGCGGTGAAGATGCAAGGTTCGGCACGCAAGGTTGTGTGACCGTGAGGGGCATGAAGGACTGGAGCAATTTCATCTTCGGCGATCCACTCTTCGCCGCCGCATTCAGCCAGGATCCAAGCGAAGAGTTTCTGGAAGGGTTCAGGGGCGTGTCGGACAACGCAAAGGCCAGCGACCCCACGTTAGCCACGGTATCTCTTCCAAGCCTGGTCGAGGACGAGCCCAACGCGCCCATACGGCTGCTATTCTACGAGTGTTATCACACTGTTACACAGATTGTCAGTGAATTCTACCGTCCGCAGTGGGACAGTAGCCAGCGTGAGTTGGCTGCAAGAAAGAAGCTCAACAACGTACTCGGGCGGCTCGCTGAGGTAGGGGATGTTGGCGTACCATTGACGACTGATTCTAAATGACTTCGGGAGCGGCAATATGAGTGTTAAGGCGGAGGGAGGGAGGATGTGCTTGGTGACAGTGCTGTACGAGAAGGGAAGACACCTCATCCAACAAGTACACCGTAGTAATTATGAAGCGTTTGTTGAGAGAATAGAGGGCCCGTGGCATACCCACGTGTGACAGGGTGATGCTACGTATGGGGCGCTGTGATATGTGCTCCCTATCTACCTAGGTACGGTACTCCGTAGTGTCATCGCCTACCTCCCTACCTTACCTACCCTGACGTGTCCCTTCCATCCTCGCTGCTATCTTCGTCCCTTGGTAGCCTTATGCCCATCATACCCAGCATATTACCGGCAGGACCGGCCATACCAGCCTGGCCCTTAAAGCTTTCTAAAAGGTTCTTGGCTAAGTTATAGTCGATATCAATTTCTCCCTCATCGTCGCTGTGTTCCGTTTCGCCACTTTCCATGGCGGATGTACGCAGAGGTGACTCCTTTCCCCTTAACATTGCCCCCTGTTGCGGTATAGGGTCGAGTTTTAGAGCACCGTTTTCATTGAGCTCGGCTTCAAACTGTGAGGCGAGTTTTCCGATATCGTCCTCATCAGTGCATGTGCTGTCTGCCCCATTCAGATGTTGAGTCGAGTTTGATGCGGAGACGGAGCTTTTATTTGCCGCAGTCGTTCCTTGAGAGGCCGTCTCTACTTCAACCGGCAGGCCCATCATCTCTTTCATCATGCGGGCAAAGGCCTCCTCGTCAAAGCTCACAAGTTTGTCTTCGTATTCGTCTTCATATTCGTCGTCATCTGTGCCGTCCCCCTCCGAGTCGGTCTCCACATCCATGTCGCTCAGTTCAGCACCTTCAACTCCGGCGCTCTCATCGTTGAGAAATGTTTCGAACCGGGACACGAGCTTGCGTAGATCAGCCTGGGTCCTTACGTCCCCAAACCCCCCTTCGGTACCGGGACCACCCTTGGCTTTCCCCTCTAACTCCCGCTCAAGGTCTCGGTAGTCGATATCCAGCCAAGATTCGTCATCTTGACGCGTCGAATCTTTCCAGGCCTTGATGTCCTGGTCGCCAGGTAGTATATTCACTTCACCTTCTTCTTTGATGTCGTCCAGGATAATGCCCACCTCGCGCACAACGCGACTATCAGTCTTGTCCAGGCGGTGTACCATCAATTCGAACCCACATGTGAGTTTCATGCCCATTTCCAATCGGTGACGGGCCTCAGGCGTCGGTTCTTTGGCGAGAAACTCTGCCCACGCCGGAGGTGGATCGAATCGCTGAGAGAGTATCTGAGAGAAGAGCACACGAGTGAATCGTACACTGACGGAGACAAAATCCTGGGGAGGGAAGTGGAGCTGAGTAGTCGAGGGAGAAGAGCAGAACGGTCGTAGTGATGCATCGTCTCGGAGGTAGAAGGCCTCCACGGCCGGTGCGACGGCCTTGGGTCTTTCATGGAGGACGAAGGCTAGTTTGCGGGGAATCGTCACCACGGCGTGATGCAAGGAGCTGGCGATATGCCCTGGATATTTTTCGAGCCTGTAGAACGCCTCCGCCTCGACCAGATCCGAGTGGACCAGGGTGCCCGGGCTTGCTTCGATGACTGACAGAGCATCGGACAGAGAAAGGCGCCGGAGTTCGCTGTCCGCGCCCTTACCAGGAGGTACGATGTATAGTTTGCCCTGATGAAGCCAGGTCCGATTGTGATCCGTCTCGGGACTCAGCCACCTGGGAAGGACGCCCGCGGCTTCGATGAGAAGGAATTCTCCGTCACTGTCAGACACTCTCACCCATAGATTGGTGTCAGATCGGCTCAGCTCCCGTAGAAGATAGACCATGAGCCACTCGTCCTCCACCGAGTCCCCGTACTCAGTGATGCCATGAAGATGCGGGGGTAGACCTGCCCGACATTAGCGACTCTGATGGCCTGGAACACCTGGACGCCGGGATGCTATATGCTGGTACGATCACGGGCCTAGTTGCTCACTCAAATCGTCCCTCAGTTCTAGGTTGAACTCATCCTTTTGCCATATATAATCGGCTAAAACCCCTTTGGAGAATCGAAGGGCGGATTTCCGTAGCTCCTCGAGTTTCGAGATCTTTCTCCGTCGGTCTAGACTCGGTTCTTCCACAAGGAATAAGAAGTATTCCACGCAGTTCTCTGGCAGCGATGTCTCGAAGTCGTTCGGCGACTGTGTCGAGTCGGGAGCACAGCCACCTTTCGAGGTCATTACGGACACTCCTTAGGGGTACGGAGTACGGGGTAGTATCATTTGCATGCCCGGGGCAATGCTCCAGGACAGTTCTCGGGATTTACGGAGTATAATTGGTAGAGTCTGTGAAGATTGAGTGGTATAAAAACATCAAGATGCCCTACTTCGTATTCGTACTTTCGCACCCCATCGAACGACGGAGTACTTATGGAGTGAGGTACCAGGTTGAGAATTGCGGAAAGTCTCAGGAAAGTAATTACGTACCTACTACATTTGACTAAGGTAGTCGCCCAGTGGGTGGGCTCTGAGGAGTCCGTGCTTAAATAGGAAATTACATAATTAAAGAAGTTCGCGTCGTCGAGTTCCCCACTTCACGTCGCGTAAATCAGAAAAAGGCCCATTATTAAAGGTTGCTTTGTGTCTTGATAAGAGGACCCTGCGTCGAAACGACATAGACGTCCCTTTTCATTCGGATCCCTGATTCTGCGCTCATCTCCGTGTACCGTCTCAACGCCGATGATGGCATATTGCGATCTTGTATTCAACCAATACTGACGGAGATCTCGGGCCTGGGCCATCCGACAATATGTCGGCACGGAAAAGGACGCGTCATGACATGGGCGACCAGGCGGGGGACAAAGGAGAGGTCCTGAGTCTGCACCATGCAAGCTCGTCATTTAATCATGACACCTCGGTGAGTAGCATATGATGGAGATCTATGGCTCTAGGCTGACAGTTTTGCCAACTAGAGGAAGCGTGTGCGAGTGTCCGCTGGTCCAGCTGCAAAGCAGCCTAGCCAACATCGTGAGACGCCAGAATACGACAGTCCTGATGCGAGCGAGAACGAGGTTGAAGAAGAGGAAGAAGAAGACAGAGACGAACGACATGCTTCACCCCCCCGGACTCAATATGAGTTGATGCGAGACGATGGCTTCAGACATCTCGAACACCAAGATATAGACGACCAACGCGCAACACAGATGATCAAGTCACGGTCTCGGCGCATGGGAGATAACCGCGTTGCCGAGAACGGAATCATCGAATCCGTCGAGTGCATCAATTTCATGTGTCACGAGCGTCTCTATGTTGAGCTGGGCCCTCTCATCAACTTCATTGTCGGGGAGAACGGGAGTGGGAAGAGTGCCGTGCTCACGGCGCTGACCCTCTGTCTAGGAGGCAAGGCTAGCTCTACCAATCGAGGCGGCAGTTTAAAGAGCTTCATCAAGGAGGGACGTGACCAATCTGTGATCACGGTTTGCATAAAAAACCAGGGCTCCGATGCTTACCAGCCCGACATATACGGTCAGACTATACAAGTTGAGCGGCATTTCTCAAGGTCGGGCGCGAGTGGGTTCAAGCTCAAGAACGAGCGCGGCAAAACGATATCCACCAAAAAAGCCGACATCGACGAAATAACCGAATACTGGGGCCTCCAGGTCGACAATCCCCTGAATGTGCTTTCTCAAGATAATGCACGGCAATTTCTGAATTCGGCCTCCCCCTCCGTGAAATACAAGTATTTTTTCAAAGGCGTACAGCTGGAACAGCTTGATAATAATTACAAACTCATCGCCGAGGTTCTAGGTAGCCACGAGGAGAAGCTGGCCAAGCTTAAGGACAACGTCGCCCAGCTTGAGCGGGAATTGCAGAAAGCCCAGAAGGACAAGGAACTTGCTGATGCAAACCACACCATGAGAGCGGAGGGTCGACGTCTTCGGACCCAAATCATCTGGTGCCAGGTCGCCGAAGCGGAACGCGAGCTGGCGAGACGCCGGGCCGAAGTCGATGCCTTTGAGGAGAAGCTAAGCGAGGCTGCACGGGCGATTGAGACAACATCACAGCAACTTGAGGACTGTGATGAACGTGTACGCCAGGCGGAAGCTACCGTTGCTGAGAAGTCTCAGGAGAAGGACGCCCAAGGAGAGACAGTGGATGCGGCAACATCCAAATACAAGGCTCTTAGGAATGACTTGGAGAAGCAGCGTTTGGAGGAGCGAGATGCATACCAGCGTGCCAAAACTGCCGAGGCAAATGTAGATGCATGGACGCAGAAAGTGGCTGCCGAGGAGCGGCGTATTGGTGAATCATCGGGCGATGTACGCAAGAGACTAGAAGAACAGCTCCGGGAAGCAGAAGCCGAAGAGGCAAGTCTCCAGCAGCAGATTGCTGAGAACGCCGCGGCTCGCCCTGGTTTGAACCGCGACTTCAAGACCGCACTCGAGAAGGTCAAAGAGGTCGAACAACGGTTTTCTGTCAAGAAGCAGGAAGTCAGCAAAGCGGCGGACCGTATCCGGAATTTCCGATCCAAGAACAGCTCTCCATTTGCAGCCTTCGACTCTAAAATACCGCAGCTTCTAAAAGCCATCGAGCACGAGACTGGCTTCGAACGGCAGCCGGTCGGTCCAATTGGGACGCACATCCAGCTTCTGAACCCTCTCTGGTCGTCCGTCCTGGAGTCGACTTTCGGACAGTTCCTTAACGGTTTCCTCGTCGCCAGCAAGCGGGATCAGCAGCGTTTGCTGGAATTGATGCGCCGACTCGATATTAGGGGCGTCCCCATTCTCATCGGCGCACCTCTTCCTCCGGGGACCAAGCTAAGACAACCGGAAGGCCATTTCCTGACCATTCTTCGCGCTTTGAAGATCGACAACGATTGGGTTCGGGATCAGCTCGTCATCAATTACTCGATTGAGAAGATCATTCTCGTTGAGAATAGGACGGAGGCCGAATCGATCATGTTCGGCGAATCGCCCCCGCGCGATGTCATTGCTTGTCTCAGTCTCCACGACAAAAGAAGGGACCAAGGCCTTCGCCTGACGGCTAGAGCCTCGATGCTAGGGACCAGCACCATCTCGGCTTTTACCAGGAGCCCGAGAATGAAGTCGGACTTAGAAATACAGTTGACAATACAAGAGGAGGCACTGCAGAGCGTTGAGCGCGAATTGCACGACATTCGGAAAGAGAAAGAATTGTTGGAAGCGGACCAGCGGCAATCGCAGCTCCGGATAGAGAAGAATGAACAGGCACGCAAGTCGCTCGGGACTGCACTGACCAAGGCTCAAGGCAGGATTACGACTCTCAACGAAGAAAACGACCAGTACGAGGGCGCCGACGGGCGGCTTGCCCAATTCCAGGAGGAGCTGAAGAACGCCCAACAGGACAAGCTCCATCATGGGTCGCAGTATGGTGAAATGGTGGCCCAGAAACAAACCCTGAACAAGAAGATCGAAGAGCAAAAGAAGGTGCTCGAACGGGAGAAGGGTGTTCTGAGAGAGCTGGAGGCCCAGCTGACCAAAGCGGAAGCGAAACTGAAGCAATGCCAAGACCTCCGCCAAATTGCACTCCTAGCGAAGAACAAAGCTTACGATACTCAAGCCGAGACCCAAGAACAGAGGGCAAGGGCCGAGAGGGAGCGCGACCAACAAGCTCAGGTGGTGGCTGAATACACTGCGGGTGCCTCTGCCCAGTCTCCAGAACGTGTACCCATCGATGAGGGGGAGACGCATGCCAGTCTGGAAAAGAAGTACCATTCCATCGTTACACAGCTGGAACAACGGAGAAACAGGGTTGGGGCCACTGATGAGGAGATCAACGACAGACTTCGCGAGGCCAAAGCTGCGTATCAGCAAGCTTCCCAAGTCTTCGAGCTCCAGAGCGAAACGCAGCAAACCGCGAAGCTCACACTGGCACAGCGCTTGGCGAAATGGCGTATTTTCCAAGCACTCATCTCGGCGCACTCGCGAATCGGGTTCCAGTATCTTCTTAGCGAACGAGGGTTCAGGGGCAACATCATTTTCGACCACAAGGCACGGAAGCTTCAGCTTTCAGTTGAACCCGATGAGACTCGCAAGAAGGGCATGGGCCGAAGTACCAAGACGCTCTCCGGGGGGGAAAAGTCATTTTCTTCAATCTGCATGCTCCTTTCCATCTGGGAGGCGATGGGGTCACCGCTGCGTTGCTTGGATGAGTTCGACGTCTTCATGGACAACGTTAATCGAACAATCAGTACAAATATGCTGGTAAGTAGGAACATTCCTGGCGGCATGATCTGGTTGACGGGTTTTCCCATACCTACCCGCCTTTCTTGCGCCCATAGACTGACGTTGTCTTTTCTCTGTATCTGTAGATCACTGCAGCCCGTCGCGTTGTTACCCGCCAGTACATCATGATTACGCCTAACGCTATCGAGGGACGGGCCTCACTAGACAGAGATGTCAAAATCATCCGGTGCGTTTTTAGGACTTCCCGACACCTCCCACTCCCGCAAAAACTTTCCTTATGCTAATCTCTGTTCAGGCTCACTGATCCACGGCAGCGGAGGCTGGTTTGAATTTGGTCATGAACCGGTGTTGTGCAATGGGTTCAGGGTTCAGGGTTCCGGGTCCAGGGGTCCAGGGATGGGCAGGTAGCCTTTTTCTTCTGATATTCAGCCGGTATGTACTGGTAGCAATTCCTGGGCAGGGGTGAGTTCTTCCAATCGGCGCAGAGTCATTTCTGTACATACCAACAAAATAGTGCTATCGATCACGCGCGGACGCCTTTAAGACGCACATGGGTTATACATCTCCTATCTACCTTATTATATATGAAGTACCTATAATACACAGTTTACATGTGGTCGGAGACCCGAGGTGGATAGGGTGTGGGAACATGTGAATCCGTCTCGCCCAGCACGACAACCCAGGGGGTCGATGGCGAGGGGAGGGAGCAAAGGAGAGCTTGTCCAGCTTGTCCAGCTTGTCCAGTCGCCCAACCGCTCCTTGACCAAGTTCGCTCATTCAAATTCGCAACCCCTTATTCCTCAGCACGTTGATGCCCGCATTTGCCGTGAAGCCCAGCCACTGGCTAACGGAACCGACGACGGAGCCCATTTGCTTGACCTCTTCCAACCGCCGGCGTAAGAAATCCCGGGTCTCAAAGAAGCCTTCGGACTTGTCGGTAGTCATAAAGAGCTCGCTCGAGGCATATATGGTAGCGAGCGAAGCTCGTTTCGTGTACCAAGAGGGATCCACTGAGGTATCTCCAGCGAGGAACCAGATGTCGTCGGCGAGGAGCGAGAGTTCTTTTAGCGAAGAGGGCATGTAGGACGGTTGGGCCATGATGGCCAGCGCCTTTTTTTACGGACCATGCGCGTTAGTGCTCCGGGTCGTTGTGTTGGGAAATAAATATCGAGCTCGTCGAAAATGGATCATACCTCTTGCCATCGGTGCACCACGTCCTTGTTTCCCAGGAGGCGCTCCCAGGTCAGCTGCTCAACCCTCGCCGCAGTGCTCAATTGCTGTGCGCCCAGATTTTTTTCTCCGAAGATCGTTTTGGTCTTGCCGGAAAGCTCCTCCCGCCTTGTTACCAGGTGATAGCGTATGAGGCTGAAGGCTCCGTCAGGAAGGACGCTGGCACTGATAGTGGGATACCCAGCGTCCTCGGCGCCAAGTGCAAGCGCCCGTTGTGAGAATCCATGCTGTGGAACGTGCGTATAGGCTGCAGAAAGAATAGCTTGTTCCGTTGAACCGTAACTCACAGCCACTGCTGGTGGGTGGTCGTAGGAGTGGTAGCAGTGCCGACCAAAGGCTGTTCGCGTGGTGGACGGAGGCAATGGCGTGCGTAGGAGTTGGGAAGCAAGCGAAGTCCCGAATCGACGGGAAGGCGACATTTTGGCCCGGGGGGGGGGGAAGAGGGGGAGGGGGGAGAACACGACGGCGACAGATCAAATCTGCTGTTGTGGTTTGGTCCAATTCCTCTACCTTATCATCGGGTGAGTGTCAACAGATAGGTAATGCGAACTCGTTCGTCCGCATATACCGAGTAGTACTATGAAATATTATCAGACGTTCCTCAAGTGGGCCTGCGACAAGTCGCGAGTTGATGCACGTCGAACAGGAACACCACTTGACAGGCCGTACGTACCGGGGCCAAAGGTGGGTACGCAAAAGTTACGACGATATTCTTACCTCTGTCGCACCTCAAAAGGCACTTGAATAATCAACTTAGTAGAGCAGAAATCTCGTGTATCTGTATTATATTAAGTTATATCTGGGAGAGTCTCTTATACCCTTAATTTAGGTAGTGAAGACTCTGTTATGGGTACTATATTATTTAGATCCTATCCGGTCTTTTCCGGTATCTACCCTTATTATATCCTGATACCCGAAGTCCCCGATATCCGGAGCCCTTAGTTATAGAGTGGATCCCCCCTAGATCCCCTATAGACTATATCATAGTCCTGCCTATACGACACACCCCCTTAGTTAAGGTGGGTCTTCCTAGGTTAACTAACTAATTAGAGGCTTCGGTTTAAACTAAACGCTCTTAACTTTTCCGTCGTAAAATTAATAGTTAAGGTAAAACGCCCTCGTAAAAGCGATCTAAATCCGCCCTATTTAACCGTTTAATTTAATTCTATCTTAATTAGTTCCTCGATCCTAATTAGCCGGATCTAATTAATTAGATCTATATCTATCGGATCTACCACGCTCTTAGGGGCCTTTGTTACGGCCGCTTTAACGCGTTTAATCTCTTCGTGTAGTCGTTTAGACTACTCGATACGGTCCTTTTAATCCGTTAAATTAAGCTATTACTATAGTCTTAAAATTCCTGCCTCCGGTAGTGCCTTTATTAAACCGTCCGCGATTATCTCCTTCGTGTTAACGTATATAACCTTAAAGAGGCCCTGCTATACTAACTAACGCGCCTACTAATTATAAATATCGACGTGCCGTAGCCTTATTCGTAGGCGTTATGCCTTCTTATTAATAAGGTTAATAGTCTATTAATTATCGTAGTATAGCTATAGCTATTATTAGTCTAGCTAAAGCTCTAAATCTCTTAATATCCGGCTAACGAATAGCGTCTCCTTAGCTACCTCGGTAAAAGCGAGTAGTTCCGACTCTATTAACGATATCGTGACTATCGGTTATTTACCCGCCTTTTAGTTAACGGTACCGCCGAAAAGCTTTATTATATATCCTTACGAGCTCTTACGGTCTAGATTATCCTTAAAGAACGCGTCGCTTACTATTAGGAAGAGTCTATCCCTACCGAATTCTAAGTAGTAGTATCTCGTATAGTATAGGAATAGCAGTATTGATTAAGCCCTCTTAAGGTAGTTAGAGGAGGGGTTAACGTTATATTAGGAAAGCTTCGAGTAAGCGAACGCGATATCGGGTCTTATCACGATAACGGCGTATAGGATAAAACCGATTATTCCCTGATACTAATAGACCTCGGGAATTAATACGCGGGTACCGTCTCGGGGTATTACCGGCTCCGTAGATAATAGGACTTTTAGTGGTTTTCGGTAGAGTATATCTACGCAGTATTTAACCGCGATCTTCTCTATATAGGAGGATTATAATAGCTATAACCTACGGGTGGCTCTATCCCTTAGGACCTTAATTCCTAGGAATTAACAGATTTCTTCGCCTCCTAATAACCTATAGCTTCGCTTAAGGGCAGCCTTAAGGTCGTCGGCGTCCGTCTTACGGTCTTTATAGTATATAAGTCCGATATTGTTAACGTAGAAAAACAGGATTAAACCGTCGCAGATTATAATATAGGGGTTATTAGGGACGGCTATAAAGCCTTTCCTCTATAGTATACCGCTAAATTCCTCTTACTATAGTAATAGCAATACCCTTAAACCGAAAAAGGCTTTCCGTAGTAGTAGAACCTTACCTAGTACTTTATAGTCTTACGGTATCTTTATAAACACCTCTTCTTTAAGGCTAGCGTTAACGAACGCGTTAACGGCATCGAACTACCTTATCTCTAGGTTAAATCGGGCGGTAATCGCTATTAGTATACGGAAAGACCGCGAGGCTAGCGTTATAGCGTAGTTATCTTTAGTCTCTAACCGTTTTTATTAATCCCCTCGGACTATAAGGCGTGCCTTATACTTAAGGAGGGTGCCCTCCTTATTAAATTTATAGGTGTATACCTATCTATAGGCGAGGACTTATTACTTATTAGCCTAATTACCACCTACCTCCTACTAATAGCCTATCTATCGGTACCCCTTAAGGTATTCCCCCTTAGCCTATAACCACCGCTCCCGTAACGGGTAAAGGCGTATATAGTAGTAGTGCTTTAATAGAGGCGGGAGATCCTCGCGGGTTATATACGATAGCGGCTAAGAGGTATTAGAGGGAGTGGAATCTATAGTACTAACGTCGCCGTTGTTAATAGCTTACTTCCTCGCGCGTATAGGGTTATAAGTCCTGCTAGCGTTAAAGAACGCCTTTTAGGCGTTATTATTCTAGACCTTCTTAGTCGTGTATAAACTTACGATAATTCTCGCGATAGATAGGCGTGCGGCTAATAGGCGTACGGCCGATAGGCACCTCTTAGGGGTATTCGCGGCTATCTGTTAGTGGTTATCGTGTTCTTCTACCTTAATTCCCCTAACCACCGCTAACGCTATAAGAAACGCGCGTACGGGATCTTCCGGGGATATTAAAGGCGTGGGAAATAATTTAAACCTCGTAGTAGTAAACTGTAAAGTGTCTATAGTAATAGCAGTAGCCTCTCCCGTAGTAATAGCGGTAGCGTTAGAGTTATAAGGTTTTAAATCTATAGCCTAGTTATTAGGCTATAGATTTAGAACCTTATCTATAGTAATAGTAGTCTCTCTTATAGTAATAGCGATAGCCTCGCCCTTATCCGTAGTAATAACGGTGGCGTCGCCTTTACCCGTAGTACTAGCGGTGGTATAGTCTTCTCTTATAGTAATAGTAGTATCCGTAGTAATAGCGGTACCCGTAGTAATAGCGGTATAGTCTATAGTAATAGTAGTAGCCTCTCTTATAGTAATAATAATGGCCTCGCCTTTATCCGTAGTAATAGCAGTAGCGTCGCCTTTACCCGTAATAATAATGGTAGCGTTAGAGTCTTCCGACTTAAGATCTAATACGTCTACGGCTATACCCCTTAATAGTAGCCTATTCGCGGTCTTATTAGATTAGGTAATACGGATAGATTATAGGCGTTCCCCGATTTCCTCGGCGGAAGCTATAGCTTATAGCGTTTTAATCCTGCCGTTAAATATCTCGTCTTCGTTAAAGACTATATCTCTCGTAGTAATAATATCCGTTAGGTATAGTAGCTAAATACGGAAGCTATTCGAGGATTAGTATCCGATATAATAACCGATTTATACCTTCGGTTTTAGCCTTTATAGGCGGTTCCTTTTAGCTTAGGTATCGCGCGTTTTTATAAAGGCTTTATAGCCGTAAGCTTATAGGTGCGTAAGGTTAGGTTAACGGCCGTGTAGGCCTTTATATAGCGTTCGCTAGTCGTTAATATATTATAGCGTCCTATTATATAGATATATAGTAGTCTTAAAGATCTTAGGCTAGATAAATATAGGCAGATTAGCTCTAATCCTTATAGCCCTCGCCCTTCTCTTAATAATACCTTTAATTCGTTCTACCATGCCGTTATAATCCTATAAATATAATACCGACGGCTAGCCTTCTACCCCCTTAGTAATAAGGAAAGTAACGACTTCTAGGTGCTAAAATATCTCGGAATCGGCTTATAGGATACGTGGCCGGATATCGAATTATGTCTTAAGGAGGGTAAAAACGTCTTTTAATATATATAGGATAAAGTCTTAGTCTCTTTTCTATAGGTAGTAATCCTACGTATAACCTATATACACGTCTATAACGAATATAATAGACTTATATAGGCCGCCTACTAACGACTCCGCCTCTTTTAGATCGTAAAAATTAAGAGCTAGGGCCTCTCCGGGCTTTAATAGGTAAAAGGATAGTATTCGCCGGATCTACGTAGGCACTTATAATTACCTATACGCGTTATAGTCCGTTATACATAGTCCCTTTATCTTTACCCCCTAAGTAGCGTTAATAATCTTCGCGAGAGCGTTAGTGCTATAGTGGCCGAGGCGTTTATACTACCGTTATACCGTGGTCTTCTACGGTTACTGCGGTCGTCGTGATCTTCTATACGGGTTATCGCGCGGGCGCCTTACTAAGACCGCGAACACGGTAGCGGCTATAGCTTCCGCGCGCTCGATTACATATTAGCTATAGATATCTAGTAGCTTATAGATAGGCCGGTTATCGGCGGAGCTAATAATAGTATTATTTATAGTATCCTAGCAGTAACCTTATAGGCGTAGCTAGTATTCCGAGACGATATTAGTAACGAATTCCTTATAGTATATAATATTATAAAGGCGTAATAGGCTTTTTATACTTAATAGGGATTATATATATAGCTTAACGTCTCCGTATCCGAGGATAGCAGCCTTATAAGTACCCACCTAAAAGGATAAAGATAAAGTATCCGTAGATAGTCTAACGGCCGTAAAATAGCCTTAATTATTAAAGATATAGATTAATAATCCTGAATCTAGGATCGCGTAGTATAATAGCGCTCTAGCTTAGTTAACGGAAAGGGATACTCCTTATTCTTATTATAATCTTAATAGTATTATTATATAATAACGTATACCCCTTAGGTTATATAGGCTCCTAGTCTTATCGCGGTAACGGATAAGTCTTTATAAACTATTATAGTAGTAGGCGTAGTATTATAGAGTTAATCTTCTTAGACTTCCTTTATTTTATTAACGGTAGCCATTACTACTTCCCGCCTTTTATATCGCGGTATCCACGCGGCTTTTAAAACTATAGTTACGTATCTTCTTTTCCGTAAACTT